ATAATAATAATAATAATAATAATAATAATAATAATAATATATAACTCTTTTTAATAAAACTCAACTTTTTTTTAATTGCATTATCACAAGAATAAAGAATTGGCTCCAGTTTCCACCCAAAACACAATTATGGCCCCGTTCATTTCGTTGATTCGAGTTTAGAATTCGAGTTTTGCTACAGTAAAAAGCTCTCACAAATAATCACATCTAACTTTTTGTTACAGTAAAAAACTCTCACATAAAATCACATCTCAACTCGAATTAAAAATTCAAATCAGCGAACTAAATGAGAATTCTCTCGCTCTTTTTTTTTTTTTTTCATACATCAAAATAGTGCTCAAAGCCACACGTAAATTTAATAACAATCGTGCTCCAAAGCCACAGGTAAATTTAATAACCATCGTGCTCCAAAGCCACAGGTCAATTTGAGCGTTGATATGCAAGCAGTTCAAAGTACTAATTTGTAGATTCAAATTTTTTATTCGAGTTGAGATGTGATATTTTTTAAAAACTTTTAACTGTAACAAAAAAAGTTAAATGTAACATTTTTTAAAAACTTTTAACTATAGAAATTTAAAACTGAAAACTTAAATCGGTGTAATGAACGATACCTAAATAGATGACAACAAAGAATCCACTGTATTTGTAATTGAGTCTTTAAAAACTCCAGGAACGCAGTATTGATGCTCTCTTACAAGTAGTTCAAAAACAAAAACAAAAAAACAAAAAAAACAAAAAAAAAAAGGAAAAAAGAAAAAAAAAAAAAACCCTCTTACTAAGAGGCTTAAACCATCACTTGACTCTAAGAAATAATTTGGGCCATTTTTTTTTTTTACCATAAAACAAAGCATCAGAAACTTGTCTTACCTTTGACTTTATTCTTCAACTTACGGCAATTCTTTTTTCAATGCCCTTTTCCATGACAAAAGGCACGCTCATCTTTTGCACATTTTGTCAACAAATCCTGACAAGCCTTTTGGCCCTTCCCACACTTTATATTCAACAAAGCAGCACATACAGCATCATATTCCACCTCATCCCTTCCATAGAGTAAAAGAGTGGTGAGATCTTCATATTCATCGGGGCCGGATTTCAACAACAGAATCGCCTTATCCTCATCCTCAAAAACTTTTACACACACAAGACAAATCAACCAAGAATCCATTAAAGGTGATTTTGTGATCCTTCATTGAGATACCTGGTTGCTATGGAAACCGCAAAAGTTTCTGATTCTAATCTAAATCATGATTTGAATTAGTATTTGGTTGTGTTGTTTTCTGATTTTGAACCATGACCAAAATAAAAATCATCTTTTATCCATGTAAATTACGTTACGTGTAATTTAAAAAAATATAATTTGGTATATAAGTAAGAAAACGAAATATTAGAGACAAAATTAAATACAAAAAATATAACTCAAAATTATAATAAGTTAAATAAGAAATAAATGAAAAAAAAGTACATTAGCCAAAAATAAGGCAAATAACAAGCATTCGAGTTGAAAAGAGAAATTAATTCACATGATACAAATGTGCGTTACGAACGTCAAAATTTTTTTTGCAACTATAATGAATAAACGAATTATGAAGTAATAGAGGTAGAATCTCATTGCTGTTATATACTTTCAAACTTGTGTACGACGACTTTCCTGATATTCTACCAACATTTCATTCGCAGGGCGATCCCTAAAACGACCCATACCTGTACGACTAACACTACCTGTTGTTACAACTGAGCCTTCAGGAACATTGCCCTCATTGGCATCGTCATCAAATTCATCATCATTATTTGGATCTATTTCACTTACAGGTACACCATCACGGTGGTATTGACTTAGAAGCGGATCCCCCTCATTAACCATGTGAATGAAATTATGTAGTATTGCACAGGCAACTGGAATTTTCAATTGTTTATTCATTGGATATGTATTATTAGGCCGCCTTAGGATAAGAAACCTAACCTTTCAAACCCCAAATGTTCGCTCTATACAATTTCTCAATGATGAGTGTTTGTAGTTAAAAATATCCCTAGGTTCCTGAAATCCACCATTTCTCATTCTATAATCAGGCAAATGGTAAGTCTCACCTCTGTACGGAGCGCGAAAACAATCATTGTTCGCATACGCTGCATCAACAATATAGTATTTTCCTGTGCAACATATCCAAATTAGGCTGCAAATTGAAGATCCATAATAATAAATAGACATAAGTGTAACCTGGTGAGGGACGTGGGAACTGAAACCTAGGATTCTCAAGCGCATCCGCGAGCCCTCGAGCGTCGTGGGTTGAACCTTCCCAACCGGATAATATGTATGTGAACTTCATATCAAATGAATAGGCTGCCAATATGGTCTGAGAGTTCACACCCTGCTGGATTATGAACACCAATTGGTGTACAAGGTACATGAGTACCGTCAATTGCGCCTACACAATCCTGACCATTTCAAGCAAAAGTTTTGCACATCAATTTCATATAAACATATTTATCAACGTATTATTAAGAATACCAATGATAGATAGTTAAAAATTAGACGTAAAAGAGCTGCACAACTTACGTCAAACCATGTACTATATCTCTGACGGTTGGCGCGTAGAAATTCAGGCACTTTGTCATAATTTGGGGGCTTAATGAAATCATCATGTAGAGCACAAATAGCATCTAAAACTTCATTAAACCTGCGTGATATGGTCTCCCCTGAATGTTGCCATGCGTCTTGTGATTCACGATTACTTTGGCTTTGTGAAACGATTGTTAAGAACACAAATAATTATTCAGGTATGCTCATGTAGTATGAGGGTCGTAGCAAACCTTTCTCAGTTAGCATTTCACATAGAATCATATAATCACGTGGTCCCATACGCACTTTGTTAAACATTGCAGTCTCATTACTGTTTGCTAATAGCTCATTTACCTTGTCCATGCCCCTTAAAGAAGAATTGTGCATCGGCCTTCTTACTCTGTCACTAGACAAATAAGCGGCTGCAGCCATGGCTTCACTTATTACGGCCATAAATCTCCATTCGGCCTTGAAGACGTCGTTCTATCACGTTCCTCATTTTCGGGTTGCATCCTGTTGGTTCACAATATCACAATTGTCATTAAATAAAACACAAATATATGCAATATCACAATAGTATAGAATGAGAATGTAAACTTGCCTAATATGAGAGGAAAAATCGACCATTAATATAATAAAGCAACACAGTCTCATACAATAGTATAGAATACAGTCTCATACAACAAAGAAACACATGAATGTCTCATACAATGGTAAACCGGTATAGAATACAGTCTCATACAGTAATTAACCGGTATAGAATACAGTTTCATACAATAATGAAAGTAAACTGGTACACCAACAATAGTATAGAATACAGTCTCGAAATCAAGCTCACACGCGACAACATGGTACTAAACACTAATCTGTGGTCTAATATCAAGAGAAAATCGACCATTTAATATAGGTTAACTATGTAGATAGAAACATCGCACCAGACATTTAAGGGCTAGGTGGATTGAAGACTAATAGAGACTTGTGGAATGGGTTAGGGGGCTGACTAAAGGGGTTTGACGGCTGGTGGAAGGACTGTGGAGGCTGGTTGTATGGATTTGGCCGGGGAGAGAAGTTATGTGGCGGCTGACTATATAGATTAGGCACCTGACAAACAAAGTGGGTTTTTGACGCATCAACAAAGTCGTTTAAAAAGACCCTCCTAACGGGTTCATCCAGTTTATGCCAAGCTGACCGCCACGTGGGGGACGCCATTATTTTTTCAAATGCATGGGCATACGTACGCGGGTCAATTCCCATTTCTGAGAGTGACGCTATGATGGTATCCGTTTCACTTGGTCCATTAATAGTGTTGTTACTCGGCAAGCTCTCTTTGCTTGAACGAATGTCATCTCGCAAATCATCACGCATGTCCCGAACCAAATCAAGCAACTCTTCCTGTGAACTGTCATTGGATTTGCGTGCCCTTGTCTGTTTTGTTCTTATCATCCGTGATGACGAGGCGACATTGGATGTCATCCGCCTTCCAAGACTTTCCACGCAGTTGCGAAGCTCAGTACACATCTCCTCATCGTCACTGTTTTGGTAAGGAGCATTCTGGTGAGGTTGTGGTTGTTCATCCCCAACAGCGTCATCATCCATTGGCACTACTTGGGTGGCAAGGTGATATGCCCCTGAACAAGACGCCATAATTCTTGAAGGGAAAACGGCCGCTAAGTATGTCTCATTAAGCTTCAAATCGTGTGTGAACAATATTTTCGCTTCACGATGTCTCTAACAAAATTATAATGAATTTGGTAAGTTTATTACACTTTAGTTACAAAAGTGTAACCTCTAACTATTATCACTAATGGAGAAGCAATGAATCACACATATTACCTTGCAAAGAGATGTCCGCAGTTCCTCCGAGCATGTGAAAGTTTTACTAATTAGGATCCCACCCTACTCCTATATGGTTTTGCAGTGTCTTATACGTTGAGTAAAGGTTGCCAAGTCGGTGGCGTTTCTCCCTCAGCCGCTCACCGCCAGGTACATATCCATCGAAAAAAGTGGCCATCCGAGCAGCCCATTTGGTAGCTTCCTGTGGTTTATGTCATTGTATTCGTATAGTCGCTCAAGTAGAAATGCCTCTGCAGCGGGACTCCAATATAACGGCCTCTCATTTGGGTTTTTTCCTAGGCATCTACACACGCATAGGACAAGTAAGAGGAGTCCAATGCGTGAAAAACAGGCCACAAACTTAAAACGACAAAGAAGTGAAACCCCCAAAAAAATCACAACCAAGAACATGTAAGAGAAGCCATTATGTGCACAAAATCCAGATATCACATTATCCTCCAAAAGCAAAGATACCATATCATAAAATGGTTCCAAAATTTTGTTGGATAATGATGGCTATCCGTTATGCTACATATTTTCATGTTCTAGCAAAGTTTTAAAGGGTAGAAAAAAAAAAATCCCTTCCCAACAAAGGCCTCAGCTGTGCACATATGTAAAAAAAATTTTGTTGGATAATGATGGCTATCCGTTGTGCTGGATAATGATGGCTATCCGTTATACACATATGTAGAAATAAACATATATACATACATAAATAAACATATATACATATATAAATAAACATATATACAACAACAATAAGATCTTAAAGAATGCTGCAAGGAAAATTTTTTGTGCATTTTATGCTCTATGTATATGATTATAATCAGAAAAGTGAAAACCCTATATGGTTCCTATATGGGAGACCCTAGATCGACCAAAAGTTTGTTTAACATCACTCATTTGCAGTGCCATCAACATAAGCAGCAAAGTGAAAACAGAGGAAGCAAATTCAATCCTCTCGTGACACACAGCAAACTAATCGGCCATAAATCAATTCACTTCCTTATATGTACACAGCACATAAACGTCAACAAAAGAACGAAAGAGCAGGCTGTTCGAAAATTTTCCCTAAACCCAATTAATTCCCTCTATATATCACAGAAAGCCCTAAACCCAATCAGTTTCCAAAGCTCTAACCCCAATCAGTTCCCAAAGCCCTAAACCCAATCAGGTCCCTCTATCTATGCTGTATTCTACTGATAGCACATTCACACAAAGCCCTAAACCCAATCAGTTTCCTCTATATCATTTTCATGCATCTGACAAAAATGTGAAAGAGAAAAACCACACATGCTGCTGTTCGAACATATCCCATTCCAGGTATTGATCTTTACACACAAATTTGAAAATAAAGTGAGGATGACATACCCTTACCAAGTTCGAGTCCGACGAGGAGATGAAGGACACCGCCTGCAGAGCTCCAAACACAGATGAAGGACTTTTGTAAATTCCCCGTCTGTTTCCTCTCCGGTGAAGGCGATAAATGGCCTTACCTTGGTAGTATCGGCGAAATTGGTACCAAATGTGGAGCTTCCGTCGATTGTTCACAATCACTCGAGCACTTGAAGCATTTCTCATCAACTCCAGAAGAGGAGTCCGCCGCGGGTTGGGCTGCTTATGCAAAGAGGAGTCCACCGGGAAGAGGAGTGGAAACCGAAAGAAAAGAGAGGAGAAAAACTGGAAAAGCTGGAGATGCTCTGCAAACTCACGCGTGAAACGCATGGAGAAAGCTAGAGAGATTCTCTGGCCAAGGGAAAAATGGTCGGCAGGAGTGGATGGGGTCAGGAGTGGGTGGGGGTCATTACTCGGGGGGAGCACTGTTCACATGATTTGGGAACGGGCTGAATCAGGCCCTCCTTGATTTTGAAATCAAGATTCAAAGTGATCCCAAAAGTACAATTTGATTCTGGGCCAGTTCCGTGATTTTGGGCCTCCAAACGCGGATTCTCCCACGTGACCCAGAATCAGGATTCAGAATACAGCTTCCAAACGGCACCTTATCTACTTCAAATGTTAGATTGGAAGCAGCAATCTTAGCCTATGAAGATGAAGTGTCGGTTATCTTCCCTTCATGTTAAACCCACAACAAATCAATGCTAAGAATACTAGTGATCAAAATTCAAAGGAAACGGGGAAAGAAAATTTTTAACCAAAAAATATGCATAATAAGAAAATACACACCTGAAAATTGATCATCGAACTGCAAAGTTTTGTCGTCTCGGAGGGTTGACCATTAGATAATGACTATATATAGGGGGAAAACAATTAACAGAAAATATCATCCACTGTTGACATAAACCGGATCATCTTTCCATATGAACCAAACAAAAGTGATAAGAAATGATAGTGTGCAACTTTGACATTGAAAATTATAAAAAGAATCTACTCTCTGAAATAGATGAAAGAAGTCAGCCGAATGCTATAAATTTCGCAATACACACACACACACACACACACATCTTCCACAGCATTTTATCCTTCCATAAATATGATTACTTCAAAAAATTGGATTTGAAGTGCAAACATCACAAACTAGCCTTTGCACAATCCTAACCAAATCAAAATTATGTCGATGACTATCATCCAGTAATTTATTTTAAATATTAAGACAAACAAACCTCATATTTTGAGAAATATTAAAATGCATCATACTACTACCAAATCTTATCTCTGTTTTTTTTTTTTTTTTTTGAAGGGACTACCTAATCTTATCTTATTCTCTAAAAGAAAACGATTTTAAAATTACCTTCTTTCTCTATCTTCTTCTTCTTCCTGCTCCTTTCTCTAACCAGAAACCCTAATCTCCCAAATCCAAATTACAGTTCACGATCAGCGCCGGCGCCGGCGCCGCCCAGCCACCGTTTGAGCACCGTGCTCGAGGCTCGTCGCCGGCGCGCGACTCAGACCCCCCGGCCTACAGCGAGCTTCTCTGCAGTCAGTCTATAGTTTGCCCCACCTTTTTTGCGTCCTTTTCGTGCCTTTTAATTTTGAGTATATTTATATTGAGATTATTTTTTAATATATTTATCAGGGAATATGCCAGGAATTGTGATCTCTTTTTTTTTTTTTTTTTTAACAGTTAATTGGAAGCTATTATACGTCAATTCTGTGTCGCAGTTAAAATGCGCACTCCTAAATCAAACCATTAAAAAGTTAATTCAATGACTAAAATTAGAAATGAAGAGATACATTTCTTTAAGAAAAAACTGTTTAAACCATACTTATTAAAACAAAGTTACATTATGGAGAATCTTTTAACAAAACGACAATAAATAAATAAAACAAAAAAGTAAACACATACACATATAAAAGAAATTATTTATAGAGATAAAGTAATGGAAAAGTGCATTTTAAAATCACCTAATAAGTTTTAGGGCAAGAAATAAAGAAAAAAATGTTAAAAAAACCAAATGAAGAACCAAATAATTTTAGGGCAAAAAAAAAAAAAAACCAAAACGAAAAGGAATAAAATTTGGGCAAAAATTGAAAAAAAAAAGATAAAAAGGACCAAAATAAAAAGATAAATAAACATTAAGGTAAAAAGTAAAAGAATAAATAAAAGACGGAGAAAAAAAAGATGGGCGATAATTGATGATAGATATCTATCTTATACTACTAAGCAAGTCATTTTTTTTACAGAGGCGTTTCGTTGGCCCCTTTTTTTTTTTTTCTTTCTTACTTTCACTTTTTAAATATTAAGACAAACAAACCTCATATTTTGAGAAATATTAAAATGCATCATACTACTACCAAATCTTATCTCTGTTTTTTTTTTTTTTTTTTGAAGGGACTACCTAATCTTATCTTATTCTCTAAAAGAAAACGATTTTAAAATTACCTTCTTTCTCTATCTTCTTCTTCTTCCTGCTCCTTTCTCTAACCAGAAACCCTAATCTCCCAAATCCAAATTACAGTTCACGATCAGCGCCGGCGCCGGCGCCGCCCAGCCACCGTTTGAGCACCGTGCTCGAGGCTCGTCGCCGGCGCGCGACTCAGACCCCCCGGCCTACAGCGAGCTTCTCTGCAGTCAGTCTATAGTTTGCCCCACCTTTTTTGCGTCCTTTTCGTGCCTTTTAATTTTGAGTGTATTTATATTGAGATTATTTTTTAATATATTTATCAGGGAATATGCCAGGAATTGTGATCTCTTTTTTTTTTATTTTTTTTTATTTTTTTAACAGTTAATTGGAAGCTATTATACGTCAATTCTGTGTCGCAGTTAAAATGCGCACTCCTAAATCAAACCATTAAAAAGTTAATTCAATGACTAAAATTAGAAATGAAGAGATACATTTCTTTAAGAAAAAACTGTTTAAACCATACTTATTAAAACAAAGTTACATTATGGAGAATCTTTTAACAAAACGACAATAAATAAAAAAAACAAAAAAGTAAACACATACACATATAAAAGAAATTATTTATAGAGATAAAGTAATGGAAAAGTGCATTTTAAAATCACCTAATAAGTTTTAGGGCAAGAAATAAAGAAAAAAATGTTAAAAAAACCAAATGAAGAACCAAATAATTTTAGGGCAAAAAAAAAAAAACCAAAACGAAAAGGAATAAAATTTGGGCAAAAATTGAAAAAAAAAAAGATAAAAAGGACCAAAATAAAAAGATAAATAAACATTAAGGTAAAAAGTAAAAGAATAAATAAAAGACGGAGAAAAAAAAGATGGGCGATAATTGATGATAGATATCTATCTTATACTACTAAGCAAGTCATTTTTTTTACAGAGGCGTTTCGTTGGCCCCTTTTTTTTTTTTTCTTTCTTACTTTCACTGTATCTTGTAACATTTAATTTATATATGTTTTCAATATATCTCATTTAAATATTTTTTTATAGTTATTTAAAATATTATTTTTATCTAATTACGTTATTAAATTAATTTATCCTCAAATGAACATTTTTTTTTGCATTTTGTTGTCTTTTTTTATTACATTTTTAGCTTTTTTCTTTTCTTTTTCAGCTTTTTTTTTAGTTTTTCATTTTCATTTTTTTTTCTTCTTTCTCCCTTATCTTATTGCATCTTTTAACTTTTAATTTTTATACATTTTAAATATATCTCGTTTAAATACTTTTTTTATGGTAACTTAAAATATTTTTTTTTTCTAATTACTTTGCTAAATTAATTCATTTTTAAATGTGTCCTTACGTAAATATTTTTTACTTGTGATTCTCATAAATTTTAGCTTTAATTACGAAACATTTTGCACAAATTTTTTTTTTGTCTTTTTTCTCTCTATCTTTTACTTTAGATCTTTTTTTTTTTCTATTTTTGTCTTATTTTTTATTCTTTCTTTTTCCTTATTTTTTCTGATGATTTGTATATTTCTCATTTTAAATAAGTCACGCGTGCATTTTTTAACACGCATATGTATTTTTTTTTTCTAACTTCCATTTCCTGCTTACTAAAGAAAGCATATCTAAAATCTAGGTCCTATTTATTTCACCGATTTGAGTTTTGTTACAGTAAAAAACTCTCAAAAATAGTCACATTTAATTTTTTTATTATAATAAAAAAATTCTAACATAAAATTACATCACAATTCAAATTAAAAACTTAAATCAAGAAAATAAACGGGCCCTAATAATTAGCAAACACAACTGTGCAAGAATTGAGAATATCCAAAAATCTCAGGGGTATCCCTGAAAAATACGTTCAAAAGGAAAACGGTGCAAGTTCGGAAAATTTTGGAATTTTCCTCTCTCACAAAACCCCTCAAAAGTCCTTGAGCCTTCACAGTTTTGGAAGTGTCTCTCCACTTCCGCCAAACTCAAACCCATTTTTTAGTTTGTTTCAGAGCTCTCGGAAGCCATTGTTAGAGCTTTATCATAAGCCATGTCAGCCCTTTCTCGGCGTAGCTTCCGCTCCTCTTCTCGTCTCCTCTTCCGCCGCTCTTATTCGTCTTCCGGTGTTAAAGCTCTCGGCGACCCTCCAATTGTTCATTCTCGCAGAGTAGTTGTAACCGGTAATATTTCTACTTTTTGTGGGTATTAATCAAAATGTAGTTTTTGATGGTTGACAAGGCAAAGCAATGATTCTGATTGCAGGTTTGGGAATGGTGAGCCCACTGGGTTGTGGCGTTGAGACCACTTGGAACCGTTTGTTGAAAGGAGAGTGTGGGATAAGGAGTTTAACTACTGATGATCTCAAGATGCATAGTTTTGACAGAGAAACCCAGTTGTACACATATGAGCAGCTCAGCTCTAAAGTCGCTGCTGTAGTACCATGTGGAACAAAACCTCACGAGTTCAATGAGGAGCTGTGGCTTAACTCTAAGGTATATAAAAAGCTGCCCTTTGTTCAGTTTCGTGTAATTGTTGCTTAAAGCATAGGTCCCATTTGTTTCACGCGTTTCAAATCATGATTCTGAGTCTGTTGCAATATTTTTCGTTGATGAAAAATTTGATTTTAGAATCAAAATCGTTGACTTAAATTAACGAAGCAAACGGGCGATACTGTTTTATTTATTTATTACTCTTTTTCTTCTGCTGGGTGTGTTTTGTGTTAGGAGAGTTCCGCAGTTGCAAGTGAGTTATGCATATGGTGTACATAAGTTGTTAATATCCAAAGTACGGTCTTTTAGTTAGTGTTAGTGTGTTGCCAAATTGTTGATGATCAAGTGAATATGGATATAAATAGAATGCATTATGGTAGACGGATTTGGGTATAATCAGAAATTCGAGAAAATCAACATTGTGCAGCTTCAATGATTGATGTCATCTGGCTTGTTTTGTTCTGATGGCTTGGTTGTGACAAGGAAAAAGAAATTTAGGGATTGAAAAGAAATAGAATGCATTTATGGTAGACGGATTGGGTATAAATAGAAATTCGAGAAAATCAACATTGTGCAGCTTCAATGATTGATGTCATCTGGCTTGTTTTGTTCTGATGGCTTGGTTGTGACAAGGAAAAAGAAATTTAGGGATTGAAAAGAAGGAGGATCCTTAATTCTTTGGAACTTCAAGATGGTTGTTTTGCTAAATCATGGATTTTATTACATTTTGGGACGAATCATATTTATGATATGGAAAGCAACAAATGAGTGTAGACTTTTCTGGTCTCTGCAAAAGCTCAGATTTTGTGCTCTGGTATGTGTCTGTTTAGTGTTTATCAATCTCTTCACTAGAACTCGAGCAGCTTAAAAAAAAGGTATCTTAGAGTACCTACAATTGGGCCAAGAAGGTCTATTTATGCCTTCTCTGTTGAGAAAAGTACATGTGTGTGTTGTCCCACGTGGAAAGTGGATGAGAATGTGAAGTGGTTTATATATATAGAAGGACCCAAGACCTTATAGGTTAACCTTTTAGGTCAAGTTGGGCTCCTGAAGTGTGTTGGGCCAGTTTTGCATGTGATGTCTCCCCAACATTCTCTTTTATTGTCATGGGGGTTATTTCTCAAAGACGTTATAACTGGATAAAGTCGCTGTAATAAGGTCAATTATGTGATTGTGCATGTGGTTGATTAGTGGAGTAGTGCCTTGAATACGAAAATTTATTAAAATCCTGCTGGTGATGTGCTTTCTGGATAGCACATGTGATAAGTTCTGTTTATTTTTTATTTATAACTTTATGTTTTTATCGGCATTTGTTAACTTGTAATTATTTTCTTCGAGTTAGATATTCTATCTTGTATTATTGTTCTTACTTTCAGCGGTTAATTTTTTCTCCCTTTTTGCTGATTGGAATTCATGCTTAGCAATTTTGTACTATGTCTCATTCTCATGTCATTTATAGAGATGATTATCTCTCAGGAACATCGATCAATTGCAAGGTTTATAGGGTTTGCATTATGTGCTGTTCATGAAGCTCTGAAAGACGCTAATTGGCTACCCTCTGAGCAGGAACAAAAGGAAAGAACGGTAAGCATATTATGTATGCAAATAAAATGTGATCTTATGTGTAAAGTTTTCCCTTATTTCTTTTGTAATCTTTCTTTTTTAACTTGAACAACACCAGGGAGTCTCAATTGGTGGGGGAATTGGAAGCATTAGTGACATACTGGATGCAGCGCAAATGATTTGTGAAAAGGTTAAATCAGTAACCACCTTGTGAGAATATTAAGATGCTTTTAGATCATTTTTATCTTAAGAGCGGGTCTCTGTCCACTGTGCAATTCAAAAGGGAAAAAAGAAAAGAACTAAAAAGAAAATAAGGAAGAAGAAGATTATAATGCTTAATTCCTTTTTTTTTTCTTACAGCGTATTCGTCGGCTTAGTCCATTTTTCATTCCACGGATATTAATCAATATGGCATCTGGTCATGTGAGCATGAAGTATGGATTTCAGGTACATACTAGCTCTTTCAAAACTAAAATATACTGCAAGTAAATTAGAGTAGTGGCTAAACATGAGTTAGTCTTCATAGTCATTTATTGAACAATCAGGGGTACCTGGATTGTGCTTTTTTCTCCTTGATGATTTTGCTTTGATGGTTTGATTGCTCTGGAGAAGTCAACTAGTTGAAATTAGTTGCTAGAGAACTGAAAGGGCAAACCCACTAAACACCACTAGAATGATAAGTCCATGGGATTCCATCATTTGTAGAGTTTTCTCATTCGCAAAAATGTTTGACTTCCATCTGCATCTTAAATGTGAATCCGTGTTAGTATTGCTCTTATGGAAAAAATTGTTTCATGATCTTATATTAGGGACCAAATCATGCGGCAGTGACAGCTTGTGCTACTGGTGCACATTCTATTGGTGATGCTGCAAGGATGATTCAGTTTGGAGATTCAGATGTTATGGTGGCTGGAGGTACTGAGTCCAGCATTGATGCTTTATCTATCGCAGGATTTTGTAGGTATTACTTCATCACATTGCAAACTTTTGTCTAGGGATGATCAAGTTTATTGTCCTGAAACAGGTTTTTTTCATAGAACTCCAGCTGTAGGATTTCAGATTTGACTGCGAATTTGTTTCTGTGGTGCATGTTTTTGTCCTTTTGGTCTCCTTTTCTTTTTCTTCACTCTTTCTTTTTTCCTTTCTGCCTTTTCGTTGTTACAGTGATAAAATCTTCAAACTGGTTGTGGCCTCTCTTGCATTCGGCAGATGGAGAGTTACATCCCACCTGATACATCTTTAATTAGTTCTTGGCTGTACTGTTCCTTTAACACTGTGGTTTTGCCATGAGCGAAAAAAGGGACTCTTTTTAAAGGATTAATGTCCAAGTAATATGAAAGGTTTCATCATATGATTTTTGAAACATTACATTTTTCATTTTTTTAACTTTTGAAAAAAATGCTTCTTAATTTACAGGTCGAGGGCATTGACTACAAAGTTCAACGCTGCTCCGCAAGAAGCTTCACGGCCTTTTGATTATTCTAGAGATGGGTTTGTGTAAGTACCAAACTCTTTTTAGGCTTCACAGATTCGTTTTCACAATTTTGGCTGTTCTGTTATGTTAATATTTCCTCCTGTTACCTAATCTTATCTTTGAACTCAGGATAGGTGAAGGTTCTGGTGTTTTGGTTTTAGAGGTGAGTTAACACTTGTATTTATTTAATGTCACTCTTTTTTTCCCCTATTTTTCTGTTGTTTTAACAGCTTTTATGTTCTAATTTTACCTTGTCTTCATAACTATGATAAAGGAACTTGAGCATGCGAAAAGACGAGGAGCAAAAATCTATGCAGAGCTTCGTGGTTATGGGACATCAGGTTGTTTCTTTGTAACATCACAGATTGTAGATGTCCCTTCAATCCAGGTAAAGAATTTTGCTGGATTCTGATTTTTTTTTTTTTTTTTTTGTAGGTGACGCACACCATATTACTCAACCACATATTGATGGAAGAGGCGCTATTCTAGCAATGACACGTGCGTTGAAGCAGGTAAAGCGCTATGGTAGTTGAGAATAAATCCAACGTATCTTCAGCTTTTTGAATGTCTCCACAATTATCCATACAATCAATGATCTGGTTGATGCTTCAGAGAACATCCAAGGATGATAATCTACCAGCTTTACTTTAGCCATTTTCTGGTTCAAGTTATATATGGGAGCTTACGAACCATTCCTCTACTTTTGCCTAAAGGAATATGCTGCTTCTTAATGGACTTGCATGATACTATTAATTGCGAAAAAGAGAGAATTATATTGGCAACAAAGAATTGTCAGACACAAGTTCATGTTGACTGCAGGATTAGATCGTGAAGCAAACTTAGTTGCTGTTACGCCTTTTCTTTTTAATAGCCAAGTTCCCAATTTGAATCCAGATAACCATTCAGATCTGCTTTAAATGTGTTATACGTCAATGCATTTGGAGATGATTTAGTCTATTGTAATTTTTGTTTATATACAGTCTGCTCTCAATCCTGAACAAGTGGATTATATTAATGCCCATGCTACTTCAACACCTTTGGGTAAATCATCTGGACATATATTCTTTTGATATTAAGCTTGTAATTTGAGATTCGGGTACATGCTAAAAGCCCAAAACCCACTGAATGTTCCGCAATGTCGTAATGATGTATTCAGGTGATGAAGTAGAAGCCAGTGCTATCAGAAGTCTCTTCTCTGATCATGCAACCTCAGGTGCTTTGGCTTTTTCCTCTACAAAGGTAAACTTGGTCATTTTTGTACTTGTTGTAATCAGAATATTAACTTGGCTTTACTATTCTTTTTATTTTTTTTCCCATAAAAGCTTGACTGCTTGTGTAACTTTTCCAAGTTATGTTTCCTCCAGCTAAATGTTTCTTAATGTTGTAAAAACATTTGTGCCACAAGTCTGCACACTTAGGAACTCACACGTGCAAAGAAACAAAGGAAGTTGGCTAACCTTTTGAACTGCATCGCGGAAATCAGGGGGGAAAAGAAAAGGAGAAAAAAGGGTTTCCACAAATATAACCAAAAAATAATAATAACGTGTATAGTAATAATAATGATAACTGATACTATGGATCAATTTGTTTTTAATTCCTTTTGCAATTTGGCCTGTGTCTTCATATTCTTTCTCCCTTTGTGGTACATTTGATATAAATTTTAGGGAGCTGTCGGCCATCTCCTCGGAGCAGCTGGAGCTGTTGAAGCAATCTTTACAATTTTGGCCATTAACCATGTAAGCTATTTCATTCAACCTTTTTCTGTGTCTTCCCTTTTGCCGCTTTTCTTGTATGGTTCCAACTTGTACTGTTGTATAAACATGGACCATAACATTACCTTCTACAGACTTCGCCATGATCATTAAATAGCTCTATTGTGTTATGTTGCAGGGAATTGCACCATTAACACTCAATCTCACGAAACCCGATCCGATATTTAGCGACGCATTTATGCCATTAAATACTTCAAAAAAGATGCCAATAAGAGCAGCGTTGTCAAATTCTTTTGGGTTTGGAGGAACAAATGCATCCCTGCTGTTCACTGCTGCTTCTTGACGAATCAGTTTGGTTCACTATCGTGCTCGGGATAATCAAACGTGTACGAAAAGGCGGGTATTCTTTTTTCTCGTAATGCAGAACACATCAACAAAATCTTAATCTGGAGCTTTTGGATACAACGGTTTGCTTGAAAGGGCATTCAAAGATGAGAAAACATGCAAGCATCAGTTCATACTTTTTTTTTTCACGAATTGTATCTGTATTTTCTGAGGTTTGGAGTTAGAAAATTTTGAGCTTCTTTCTTTGTTCTTTTTATAAATAAATAAATTAATTAATTAAAGATGATTTTGAGTTGTAAATTTGGTATGAGCCATATTGTAAGAGCTGACAAGATAAAACAGCATAGATATTCCCGGCTGGCTCTTCGCGGATGTTAGGAAGTGTTCCTTAGCCTGTTTCAAGAATTGCCACTCTCTAATGTATCAGACAAAAAAAAGAGTGAAGATAAATAAGTAGTACACTTGGTGTACATCTTTGGTGATGAACTTTGGTAGTAAATGTTCACTAGTCTTTTAAAAGTTTAACATCTCAATTAATCAAAGGAGCTTCTCTAGTAAGATCTTACTAGAAAAAATGATCTACCAATAAATTTTTACTTTCAACTGTTTAATTTGTATTAGAAATTTTTATTTTACATATTTTTTTAATTTAAAGTGCTTTTAATCAGATGCAACAATTATAAACTGACATTATTAATTGACTTGTCTTATCAGAAAAACTCCTTAGTTTTGATTGTCTAAAGCAACATGTTCACTTCGAATAGATGACTACTGTTGGTCAAAATTTACTGCCAAAGAAAATTCTGAGTTAGTGTCTCTCTCTCTCTCTCTCTCTCTCTCTCTCTCTCTCTAACACACACACAGAATATAGTGGCTAACAGCAGACAACAAAAGCTGTACAATCTAAGAATACATTGATTTGAAACCCTCTGTGAGAGGTACTACTTTTGCTGAAACCTTGGACTGCAACTTTGATACAGCCTGACGTATGTCCTGCAATTGTGAGGAAGCAACAGTCTGAAATTTGTGAAACAAAAGGAAAAGAAAACTAGAAAGGAAAAAAATATCAATTACGAAACGATAACAGAATCTAACACCCTATACCTAAGTTTTCAATTCTTTTGTGAAATTGAAAGATGATTTTATAGTTTCAGGAATGATGATGAGTTTGTCCATCTCCCTCCACAAACAGGGATGATGTTGACATTTTTGGTGAGTAAAACTCACAAAGCAAATCAGGTAACATAAATGTAGAATATTGATTGGGAACTTTCAGATTTTAGCTAACAAAAATCACTGTTAAAAAGATCACAAAATGACCTCGTTGAGGCGATTTTTTTTACCTCTAAATGGTAACGGGAGGAGAAATGGGTTAGCAGAACCGACTTATTTCGAATCCACTCAGCATTTTCCATAATCTGCATTGGGTACAGAAATCATTATCAAAACATGAACTATGGTCACAAGTTGAACTTTTGGTATCAATAAATCATAAACTCGTTACTTTAAGAGCTCTACTCCTATAAAATGATAGCTAAGAATTTGAAGACAATAATCAACCTAGCTAAGAGCCAATCACTTGGAAACAAAAATATCATAAAATGCACAAAAAAGGGGAGAGACAAAGGAAGTCTTGAAGAAGCGAGGTGCTAAGAGCCCATCACTTGATTGTATTCAAAAATTCAAAATTATTCAATCTTCTCGAGAACTCCCCCCCCCCCCAACAATGCTTATAACCCTCAACAACATTATTGTCATGAGAGATCATAGTAGTGGTCGTTCCATATGATTATGCACCACAAGCCAATGACCAAATACTTTGTAGAACGATTCTTAACATCACTCATGCTGAGTGCTTCAAAAAAATTTATGTTCCCTCCCCTCTTAAAAAAGAAGTATAGAAAGCAAGTCTAATGTATAAATTATAAATGAAGCAAAATACCAATATACCTCAAATATATGAGTATGACCATGTTGTCGTGCATGCTCAATGCTGACGCCTTCGTCCAGGAAAGTTGCCTGTCAAACAATCTTCACCTTCAGAATTAAATTTTTCCAAATGGCTTGATAAAGTGAAACATAAGGGTATGCATGCCTATATACACTTTCGAAAAGCCTTTAACATTCCATATTCTAAGTGCAGTATGAAGTCAATCCAACAAATTGTGCAGCACTTAGGTTTCTAAATCAGTAGCAACCTAGAAACTTCCAGTTATTTTAGATACAGGTAACTAAAGGAAACTGTTCACACATTAAATAAAAAATAAATAAAAATAAAAACTGAAGGACCAAAAAAAGAAACTGAAAACTTTTCACCTATTCTATGACCCACTTTATAAGGTTTATGCTGCTACGGTAAACAAAAACTCTATAGCACTTGGGGTAAAAAATAAGATATCTGACCATGCTTTGGCTTGACATCTATCAGGGTAAAACTTCTAACCAACCAGAGCATTTAGAATAATGATATGCTGAACCTGTTGACAGGTAAATGGAAAATACAATTTGGGAAGCGCTAGCACTAAGGAAATAGCTGATCGGTTTCACTCTTGTTTTGGGATATGTATTCAATTTCTTTTGTTACTGACTACCTTTTTGTCATCGCAAATACAAAGCGAGTTAATTTTCCTTTAATCATACACAATTTGGGAAGCGCTAGCACTACGGAAATAGCTGATCAGTTTTACTCTTGTTTTGGGATATGTATTCAATTTCTTTTGTTACTGACTACCTTTTTGTCATCGCAAATACAAAGCGAGCTAATTTTCCTTTAATCAGACAAAAGTTTTCAAGGAAGTGTATGATCTTTGAGTTTGATGAAAAGCAACTTTACAAGAAAAGGAAGTAAGGCTTCAAACCTCAGTTATAAGTATCTTTGCCCTCAAGGCATCAGCATTGCGTGGATCAAGCATAAAATCTGACGTTGTGTCTCCTGTGAAGGCCACTTCAGGAGACAACACAGTGTCTGTAATCTGAAAAGGGGGTCGAATGTTAAATGTAAATTACTTGAGGTTCAAAGGAGAACTCAAATGGATACTACAAACCTCAACACCAGACTTCTTCAACTTCTCAATTTGTTTCCCTTTAAGATGAGTGTATTGCTTCTTTAACTTTTTTCTAACCGAGTAGATTACATAACCCTGCACATAACAAATAAATCAATATCAACAACAATCTACATGCAGTTTTACTAAGTTACACTACTAAAAATAAAAGTTGCGTACTGACAACCATCTATGCATCATGTAGGTTTTAGGGCAGAAAAGAAAGTATATTTTATTGATTAATTCCTGTACAAGGTTTACAATATTTATAGGAAAACTATCCTACGGGAATGGGAAAGTATATCCCACGGAAAAAGGAAACAAAATCCCTTGAATGAATGAGATCCTTATCTCAAGGAATCTCTTTAAAAATTGAAAAGATAAACTACTTTTCTAATTTATCTCTAAGCCCCCATTAACCGGATTGGTACATATCCGGTCCATAACTTTAGCCTACTTTCCTGATTTCTACACTCCCCCTCAAGTTGGTGCATAGATATCTATCATGCCCAACTTGCTAATGAGAAACTCAAAGTTTAGTCTAAATAATCCTTTAGTAAGAACATCAGCCACTTGTTGTGAGGTTGGAACAAATGGCATGCAGATGGCTTCAGCTTCAATCTTTTCTTTTATAAAATGCCGGTCGATCTCAACATGTTTTGTTCTGTCATGTTGGACTGGATTGTGGGCGATGCTGATCGTTGCTTTGTTGTCGCAATACAGCTTCATAGGCATGGTCACAGGTCTTCTTAGTTCCTCCAAAATCCGTTTGAGCATATCATCTCACAGATCCCTTGTGCCATTGATATGTATTCTGCTTCTGCAGTGCTTCGGGCCACTACATTTTGTTTTTTCCTCCTCCATGTTACTAAGTTTCCCCATACAAACGTGCAGTAGCCAGATGTGGACCTTCTATCTGAAGTAGACCCCGCCCAATCTGCATCTGTATAAGCTTCAATACCTCGTTGTTCATTCTTTTCAAAAAACAGTCCTTTTCCCGGTGAACTCTTTAAGTACCTTAGAATGCGGTAGGCTGCTTCTAGATGTTCTTCATGATGAGAGTGCATGAACTGGCTCACTAGGTTGATAGCGAATGCTATGTCTGGTCGTGTATGTGATAAGTAGATTAGCTTTCCCAACTAGTCTTTGGTATTGGCTTGTATCCACTGGTCTTCCCTCTTTGTTTCCCGAACTTCTGATTTGGATCAATTGGTGTTTCTGCAGGGCGACATCCACTCATCCCAGTATCTTCAAGAAGATCAATCACATACTTTCTTTGTGAAACTGCAATCCCTTTTCTTGACCTGGCCACTTCCATACCAAGGAAGTATTTTAGTGAGCCTAGGTCCTTAATCTCGAATTCAGAAGCCAGACTCTGCTTTAGGCGATTCATCTCAGCAGTATCATCCCCAGTAAGAATGATGTCATCAACATATACTATAAGAACAACTTCCTTCTCCCATTTGAGTGTCTTGTGAACATCGTGTGATCTGTTTGCCCCTGGTCATATCCCTGTCTCTTCACAAATTAAGTAAATCTCTCGAACCATGCCCTTGGAGATTGCTTGACCATATAGAGACTTTTTCAGCCTGCATACCCAGTTTCCATATTTTTCCTCAAACCCTCGAGGTGGGTCCATGTAGACTTCTTCATCCAAATCGCCATTAAGGAAAGCATTCTTCACATCTAGTTGTTGTAGTGGCCAATCTAAGTTGGCTGCAAGTGTTAAAAGTACCCTAATAGTATTGAGCTTTGCCACTGGTGCAAAGGTTTCAAGGTAGTCAATCCCATACGTTTGAGTAAACCCTTTGGCTACTAGACAAGCCTTATATTCCAGAGATCCATCTGATATGTATTTCATTGTGAACACCCATTTGCAGCCAACAGTCTTCTTTTCCTTCGATAGTTCTGTTACTTCCCAAGTTCCATTCTTTTCAAGGGCCTTCATTTCCTGGAGAACAACTTCCTTCCATTCAGGAACCTTTAGAGCATCCTGCACATTCTTTGGAGTCTCCACACTAGACAACTATGAGGTAAAGGCAGAAAAAACAGGTGACAGGTTTTTGTAGGACACAAAGCTCAACATGGGATATCTTACACAACTTCTGACCCCTTTGCGTTTAGCAATGGGAAGATCAGACTTGGGTATACAAGGCTCGGATTCAAGATTGGGCAGGTTTGTGTGGATAGGTACTGTGTGAGGATTACCTGGATCAGAATCGGGAATGTTCTGTAGTGCAGGATCCGAACTGATCTGTGGTTCAGGCTCTTGGCAGTGTTGGATAGTTTCAGTCTCTACTCCTTGCTTCCGGTTCTTCCTCCTGTAAACCAGCAATTTTTTTGTTCCTGTTTGTTCCCTATACACATCTTTATTAATCTTATGAGATGACTCTATAGACTCAAGATTCAAATTTTCATTACCTAAATCACTCAACTCCGTATTTATCAGGAAATTTGGGCTCTTTGTGACGAGTTGATCAATTTCAGTTTCTATTTCAAAGTTCGAATCTTCACTTATTTTCTCCCCCTGAAGATGAGTACCAAAATATGGTTGAGACTCAAGGAAAGTGACATCCATTGTGGTAAACATTTTTTTGGATCTTATGTCATAGCACTTATACCCCTTTTGGTTCGGAGCATACCTTACAAATATACACTTCCTGGCATGAGGATCTAACTTTTCCCTATTTTGACTTTGAATATGAACGAATGCACTACACCCAAACACTCTCAGAGGTAAATCTGTTGTCAACTTAGAGGTATGGAAAGTATTCTTGAAGACGCTTAGGGGTGTTTGATAATTTAGAACTTTGGTAGGCATGCGATTTATGAGGTATGTTGCAATTAGGAGTGCCTCTCCCCAAAGATACTTAGGAACACCATTAGTAATAATAATGCTCTAGTGACTTCGAGGAGGTTCTGCTATCCCATTCTGTTGGGGTGTATCTGAACACGAACTTTGATGTATTATGCCCTTTTTTGAAAAATATCCCCCTAGGATTTCATTAAAGTATTCTCTGCATTATCACTCGTAAACACTTTTATTTTTTCTTAAAATTGTGTTTCAATCATTGTATAGAATACCTGAAAGATCTCTTTTACTTCAGACTTGTCTCTCAATAAATATACCCAAGTGAGTCGTGTGTGATCATCTATAAAGCTGACAAACCATTTTTTTCCATACATTGTTGAGGCTCTAGATGGTCCCCAAACATCACTATGAATTAACAGAAACGGTTTTGATGCTTGATATGGTCTAGAAGGAAAGGATGAACGATGATGCTTAGCTAGTTCACAAATCTCACATTTAAAAGATGGACTTTTATTTCTAAATAAATCAAGTAGCAAATGTTTTAAGTAATAAAAACTTGGATGCCCTAATCTATAATGTCAAAGCATAACATTATTAGAAACGGAAATAGAGTTGAAACAGGAATTTTGAACTTGGTGTCCTGATTCGGTTCCATCTTCAAGAAAATAGAGACCTCCACTTTCTCTAGCACTGTCAATCGTCCTCCCCGAGACCATGTCCTGAAACTCACACCGAGAAGAGTCAAATATAACACGACAATTAAGAGAATTTGTTATCTGACTAGCAGACACAAGGTTACAAGAAAGTTTAGGAACATGGAGTACATCATGCAAGGTTATGTAATTGGAAATTTTGACAGTCCCTGTTCCAGCAATTGCGGAGAGGGAACCATCAGCGATTCTAATCTTTCTATTCCCTGCACATGGGGTATAAGTTGAAAAAAATTGGGAGCAACCTGTCATGTGATCAGTGGCTCCTGAATCTATGATCCAAGAGCTATTTTGTTTCGGATTAACACTAAGGAAGGCTGAGACAAGATTACCTGTTTGGACAAAGGAACAGGAAAGGGTTGATTGGTTTACTCGGAATTATGAAGACTGAAAAGGATTGTACCTTGCTGCCCCTGATCTTCACTGGTTGCTTGAGCCGAGAAACCCCTGTTATCAGTGTTCTTCTTCCAATTCTGCAGTTTTCCATGAATCTTCCAGCAGTTTTCACGCGTATGCCAGTGCTTTTTGCAGTGGTCACACCAAGGCTTCTTTTTCCTGTCATTTTCCGATTCATTCCTCATTGACACAAGAGCAAAATTGTCAGTCACAGCACCACTGATTTGTTATCCTCTTCAGTTTTCAACATAACCTTCCTCCTAGTCTCCTCTCTTCTAATCTCAGAAAAAGCCTCCCGAAGAGTTGGTAGAGGATTGTTTCCAAGAATCCTAGACCTAATCTCATCAAAGACTCGATCCAAACTAGCCAAAAACAGGTACACCCGATCACTCTCTTCTTTTTTCATGAATCTTACGCTATCCGTCGGGCAATCCCACTCATCATTATAACATTGATCTAACTCTTGCTATAGGGAAATCATCTCATTATAATAAACTGTAACCTAACGATCACCTTGTTTGGATTTCCACAACTTGGTTTTTAATTCAAAAATTTGTGCGAAATTTTCAAGATCAGAATAAGTCTCTCTCAACGCATCCCATACATCTTTTGTAGTAGGAAGGAAAAGGTAGGGCTTACCTATGGTCGGTTCCATAGAGTTGATCAACCAGGCAGTGACTAAGGAATTTTCTGACCTCCATGCCTTCAGTTTTGGGTCCCCATCTCCAGGCTTCGTCACTTCTCCAGTCAGATGACCAAGTTTTCCTCATCCATCTCTATGGCCAGCTTCACCGATTGTGCCCATTCTAGGTAGTTTTTTCCGTCAGTTTGTGCAAATGTTTTAAGTAATAAAAACTTGGATGCCCTAATCTATAATGTCAAAGCATAACATTATTAGAAACGGAAATAGAGTTGAAACATGAATTTTGAACTTGGTGTCCTGATTCGGTTCCATCTTCAAGAAAATAGAGACCTCCACTTTCTCTAGCACTGCCAATCGTCCTCCCCGAGACCATGTCCTGAAACTCACACCGAGAAGAGTCACATATAACACGACAATTAAAAGAATTTGTTATCTGACTAACAGACACAAGGTTACAAGAAAGTTTAGGAACATGGAGTACATCATGCAAGGTTATGTAATTGGAAATTTTGACAGTCCCTGTTCCAGCAATTGCGGAGAGGGAACCATCAGCGATTCTAATCTTTCTATTCCCTGCACATGGGGTATAAGTTGAAAAAAATTGGGAGCAACCTGTCATGTGATCAGTGGCTCCTGAATCTATGATCCAAGAGCTATTTTGTTTCGGATTAACACTAAGGAAGGCTGAGACAAGATTACCTGTTTGGACAAAGGAACAGGAAGGGTTTGATTGGTTTACTCGGAATTATGAAGACTGAAAAAGATTGTACCTTGCTGCCCCTAATCTTCACTGGTTGCTTGAGCCGAGAAGCCCCTGTTATCAGTGTTCTTCTTCCAATTCTGCAGTTTTCCATGAATCTTCCAGCAGTTTTCACGCGTATGCCAATGCTTTTTGCAGTGGTCACACCAAGGCTTCTTTTTCCTGTCATTTTCCGATTCATTCCTCATTGACACAAGAGCAAAATTGTCAGTCACAGCACCACTGATTTGTTATCCTCTTCAGTTTTCAACATAACCTTCCTCCTAGTCTCCTCTCTTCTAATCTCATAAAAAGCCTCCCGAAGAGTTGGTAGAGGATTGTTTCCAAGAATCCTAGACCTAATCTCATCAAAGACTCGATCCAAACCAGCCAAAAGCAGGTACACCCGATCACTCTCTTCTTTTTTCATGAATCTTACGCTATCCATCGGGCAATCCCACTCATCATTATAACATTGATCTAACTCTTGCTATAGGGAAATCATCTCATTATAATAAACTGTAACCTAACGATCACCTTGTTTGGATTTCCACAACTTGGTTTTTAATTCAAAAATTTGTGCGAAATTTTCAAGATCAGAATAAGTCTCTCTCAACGCATCCCATACATCTTTTGTAGTAGGAAGGAAAAGGTAGGGCTTACCTATGGTCGGTTCCATAGAGTTAATCAACCAGGCAGTGACTAAGGAATTTTCTGACCTCCATGCCTTCAGTTTTGGGTCCCCATCTCCAGGCTTCGTCACTTCTCCATTCAGATGACCAAGTTTTCCTCATCCATCTATGGCCAGCTTCACCGATTGTGCCCATTCTAGGTAGTTTTTTCCGTTCAGTTTGTGGAGAGTCCATTGGAATGAAAATTGAGAAGAGTCTCCTCCTTGCGCCATGGTGGTTCGATCTAGTTCACCACGATTAGGACCTTCTGCCCTAGAGGATGCCGAGGATCTGCCTTAGAGGATGATGCCGAGGATCTGCCTTCTTCAGTAATGGCCGTTTCAGCCATGATTTAAGAATGTTATTTTCGGCTCTGATACCATGTAGGTTTTAGGGCAGAAAAGAAAGTATATTTCATTGATCAATTCCTGTACAAGGTTTACAATATTTATAGGAAAACTATCCTATGGGAATGGGAAAGTATATCCCACGGAAAAAGGAAACTAAATCCCTTGAATGAATGAGATCCTTATCTCAAGGAATCTTTGTAAAAATTGAAAAGATAAACTACTTTCCTAATTTATCTCTAAGCCCCCATTAACCGGATTGGTACATATCCGGTCCATAACTTTAGCCTACTTTCCTGATTTCTACACATCAGAATCTCAAAGTCAATAAGAAAAAAGAAAAAAAGAAGAAAGAAAGAAAGAAGCTTATTGGAGAGTAGCAGAACGCGAGATAGTAACATATAATTTTGTTTTTATACCATGCTAAGAAGCCATTAATTATTCAGTCAGAATCTTCTTAGTGCAAGCTGTGTGTATCATGAATAGGCTACTTCCGGGAGTTAGATCAGTAGTAAGCATTCATCTAGTTCTGACAATTGCAAGATTAAATAAAATGACAAAGTGCACCTGGCTGGGTATAACATGTTGAGTTCTAAATGCTCGGACGACAAGGTTATTCCGCATTTCGTATGTTTCACCTGAATGCAAAACATGAAACATAATTCCAGCATGAAGATATACCAAAAAAATAAAAATAAAAAATAAAAACACAACAACAACAACAAGTGGAGCAAATCTTCATACCGAAATCCAATGGAACCAAATCAAAGTTCAGTTCCACTTGGCCCATTGTCCTATGAATGTCGAATAACTTCTCCACATCCTCTTTAATGCAAGGAGGAACAAATATTGTTGGAGGTTTTAAGCTGTACAAACCACGGCTAGCAACATACATTGGTAGGCCACCCTGAAACAACAAATGTGCCACAACTGTACATGATTGTACTTACGCTTACATTGCAAATTGAAAAATATGACTAAGAGAACAAGAAAAATCAAGACCAATTAACAAACAAACAAAAAAAATACATATCCATAAACTGACTAATCCACTCTAGAATCTAGATGACTAAAACTTGTGTTTTGCTTGATGGTAAAAGTTACTGTTTCAGTTCCTAATGTTATAATCGCGAGCAATAGTCTTAAGCTTAGCATTCTTTTTTGCTTTTTCGAGAAGATAAATAAATTCCTCGTTCCCTTGCCTGTCAGGCCTAAACTTAGCATTCAAATAAGAGCAAAGCAGTGATATCATAGAAGATTTTGTTTTACACCTGGTCGGTCCCAAACTTCGACAAGAATTTCAGTTAATCTCTTGCCATTTTTTATATCAAGTTTAGGAACTAAAATGAAACTTCTAGGACGGTTTCAGAGACTGACTATAGACTTAGTCCAACAAAAATTCCTTTCCAGTTTTCAGATAACAAAGCGGGGAAAGGAACAAACTTTCGATTTTAAGCTATTTCCCGAAGTATAAAATATACTTGGGAGCAGTTAAACTTTGAGCTGGAAAAATCTACAATCTATTACCCAATAACGTGGTATTCACAAAGAGTTCTTTCATCTACACTAAACCCATAGATGAACTCAAACAGCAGAGAATATGCAAAACAATTAAAGTTCTCTCACTTTTTCTTAATGTTCACTTATAAATCCATGGTGGGTAATCCATAAAATGCTAAAAACTCCAAAAGAACATAAATAAAAGGATCCATATAGGCTCATTCAAGGGATCCTTGGCCTCCATCGATAGGGTTTTCAAGGAACCAAAACATCCAATTAGCAAAAATATGCCAAATAACCCATAGGCACCTTTCAGATTTCATTGAAAGTAATTAAGAATAGATAAATTTACAATACCTAGAGAGATGAGATAACATCACCCCACTAACTATCCCAACTAAAAGCATGACAAACTACTGAGCATTTCATCAAATAAATAAAAATCCAAATTCATTATTTTTTTCAAATTAAAATACTGAACCGTAACATTCAACAACAAAGAGATAGAGCTTACAATGTGATCAAGATGGGCATGCGTGATGAACACAAAGTTCTGGTGAATAGCCCTTGAGGGACACCTCCCAATGTCGAAAGCACATTTGAATTCAGGAATTATGACGCAGGTCTCTTGCCCACCAATGGAAATTCCCTCGATGGAATAGCCTTCCAAGTCAATCCCTTTCCGGGCAACCTGCGACCGGGCTATCCGGTATTCATCCTCTTCGATGGCGCGGCTAATCGCCGGTAAGTACCCCGATTCTTTGAGGGCATTCACCGGACTGAATTGGGTCTGAAACGAAGCTCTCAAAGGCTTCGCTGAAATGGGGTTGTGGCGTGGGAATAGTAGAGGGGCTCTGGAGGGTGGTGAAAAAGTTAGAGAGATTTGCATGTTTTGGTGGGATTGCGAGAGAAGAACATATGATATTACCAGAGAAAGAGAGGGTTTTAGAGAGGTTTTACACTCTGCATGTGTGGGGTTTTTCCTGGCACGAAGAAGAGAACTTCTCAAACACCTAATAAAGTCACAGAAATTTAAACACCTACTAAGGTGCCAACGAAATAAGGCATTAGAATGAAAATCATTTTCCTAGGAATTTCATCAAACCCCAGATAGGCAATACACAAACACTTTCCTAGGAATTTCAACAAACACCAGACGGCAAAAACTTTAGTGGTAACTAAAACATTTGTCCTTCATGTCCATGAAGTTTCAAACATTATCTCTCTGTTTGATGTGCACCCACCAACAATCCAACTCTTAGGTATATCATACTACTAACATTATTAGTATTTCAAGTGTACAACCGTCACAAAAAATGCACTTGAGTTCAGCAAAATGAAAGAGGAAAAGAGAAAGACAAATGAAAGACAGAAACAAATAGAGAGGGAGATTACCAGAGTCGGCAGCGAACGGCAAGGTGGCAGCGGCGGCGAAGTGGGAACGATCGGCGGGAAGGTTGGTCGGCCGCTCGACGCTTCACTGAGGAAAAATATTCAAAGCTTGCGGAGATTTTTTTAGTTGGACAATATCCAAAGTCTCAAGAGCCAGTGAGAAGGAAAACAGGCATGAACGTGGTAAAGGATTTTTTTTTTTTTTTTTTAATTGTCAGACAACTCACCTCTTCGACTTTTCCAGTGCGTTTGAAATTAATTTTAAAATAATTTTATTTTTATTAAAAAATAAAAATGAGATTATTTTAAAAATTATTTTGAGATTGATTTTAAAATTGTGTTTGATAAATTTTTAAAAAAAAATCATTTTGAGTATAATAAAAAATAAAATCGTGTTTATTAATATTATAATATTATTGACAAGTATTAAAAAATAAAAACAGAAAAGTGAAAATAACTTGCAATTGTTTTCTAATTCCTTCACAAAAATCATTCTCATTGTTTTTGTTTTCATAATATTTGCTAAACAAACGTCATTTCATTTTCATTTTGTATTTTTTACTTCTCGAAATACGTCAAACCCATTTTAAAAAATGATTCCAAACACGCACTTCATAACCTCCTCAACTCTTTTCTTACCGATTATTTAATTTAAATTATTATAAATTTTTTGGAATAAAATACCTTCTCTCGAATGCCGACTCATTGGACCAATTTTTAACTGCTAAGTTTAATTAAAATTATTTAATTGTAAAAGTATGTAAAAATAAACAATTTCTTATACAGATTAGACGCCTGAAAAATAGAGAACTAATGGTATTTTCTTTTTTAATCCTATCAGAGAAATTCCCAAATCATTTTGATTTCTCATGTTATAGTGAAACATGCTATTAGTATCTTGTGTTTTACAATATTAAATTGGATCTCGATATTTTTTAGAAACATCTTGATACACTAACGCTGATTTTTAAGACATAAAATGACCTTAATATCTTTCTATTTAGGGTATGTTTGGTAGTGATTCTTGGAGCTCAAAATTAATTCTCTAGTCATCCAAAGTTGAAATTTGTGTTTGATAACAACCATCAAAAGTGATTCTTAAAGAATTTTTGAAGAATTTACAATCAAAATCAAAAGCAGCCCAAAAACAACTTTAACTTTTAAATTGTGCAACAATCACCTTGAAGTACAATTAATGAAACTTTCATAATACCCCTAGAATCAATACTTATATAATTACAGTTTACCAAATATTTAGTTACTTTTTGCAACGGCTATTTTTTTCAGCACAACTAATAGCAATTTTTCTAAAATCTACAGCACTACCAAACTGGTCCTTAATTAACAAAAACTAATAAAGCTAGAAAAAAAATCATAGACTATTTATTTTGTTATTTTTCTTTAAATATTGTAATGTTTTAAAATATTTTCATATTTTTTAAAAAAATATATTAATTTTATTTAATTAATAAGAAAGATAATTTGGACGTTACCTGTTTTAAAAAATTAGCTTCAGAGTACTAAAAAAATATTTTTAAGAAGTTGAGTTACTATTTTAATATTATCAAAAAAATAAAATACTAAAAGTATATTTCGCTACAACACGATATATCAAAATGATATTATCTCAACAGAAAAATATAGGCCGTGTTTAGAATTGATCCCGTTTTTATTTTTCACATTTTTTGAGAAAAAAATGAAACGTTTCTAAAACGACGTTTGGCGTAATAAAGATAAAAAATAAAAATGAAAATGATATTTTGGTTTAGTATAAAATAAGAGAGAAATAAAAAATGACTTTTAGTCGTTTTTCATTTTTTATTTTCGTTTTTTCCTCTCTCGAGCAGAGAGAAAGAGAGAGAGATATTATTGAGTTTTTTTAAACTGAAAACAATCTCTTAATAAAACTACTAAATATATTTTTAAAAATAATTTATATCTGAGATTAAAAATATTTTTATTTTTATTTTCATATAAAAAATAAAATTATTTTGAAATAAATTCTAAACGCACGCGACCACCCTCAACAACCAGAAGTCACGAGCAACAACGTAATGAGGTAAACAAGAGACAAAGGGAAAGAAAAGGGCATCCAAAAGGAAGTGGGGACGGAGCTACAGCAGGCCCAGGGATTCGAGCTCTTTTGGTTCTGACCCCCGATCCAAAAACTTCTTACAATTCTTTACCTTGTTTGGCATACCTGATTTTTTTAAGTTACAATGTTTAGAATTTTTTTTTTTCTTAAAAAGAAAATCAATTATACACTAACTTTCGATTTTAATGTACTCGTATTACAAACTTATCTATAAAAAAATATATATATATATAATTCAAACTTAAAATCTCAAATAAAATAAAAGTTAACTGCACTACTATATAAATTCACAATGTTTTGATTTTTCTTACATATATATATATATATTTAGAGATCATCCAAACTCACTTTTTAAGCCTGAATTTAAAACTGGAGCACATATAATATTGCAACTTAAAAGCAATTGCCGGGTTTTCTTACAGCTTTCTTATCTGCACATTATTAGTTGACGTTCTAATTTATAAACTGTATAGATATACTTGAGAAGAATCAATCACATTTTGACTGGCCTTATTCCAGCTTTCAAAGAATACATTCACAGTTTGCACAAGCCAAGCCAGTGGGTTAATAATACATACAAGGGAAAGTTACATAATTCGCCCTTGTATTTTTCCCATTTTTACAGAACTAGAAACTAGAGGAATGAATTATGTACTGTTCCCTAAATACAAAAATAACACTGTACAAAAAGGGAAAGATGACCTTTTGCTACTTCAATCCCATAGGCATTCCGAAGTGGCAATATATCGTGTGTATACATACAGAGGGGAGTCAAAAGCCGGCTAAGATTGCTCCATTATGTATACTGTACATCACCACAGACTGTAATTCTTGAGTTTGAACAGATTAGTTCAGCATTTTGTAGAGCGAAACCGTGAATGATCGGTAAAGGGAATCCTGTTCCGAGGATTGCATTCGCATACGGCAAGAAAACAGTTTGAAGAAGAATCCAAATAAAAGGCTGTGCATGCAGCATAGGAACATTTTAATCACTGAAACAGAAACGGATAAATTTTGATTGAAATGAATATTGTAAGACGAGGAGTACCTGAATTAGGTGTAAGCGTAATTTACCGATATTACTCCATTTCAATGACATTGTGAAGTCATTCAATTCTGCAATCCCAGTAAGGTTATTCCCTGAGATTTTTGCTAAACCAGTGCCGCGAATAACCTGTGTGAATGAAAAATATAATACCATCATTGATCAATTGAAATTACTTTCAAATTGGACTACAGAGTATGGAAAGTACCGAGTAGAGTGGAGGAATATAAGTAAAGAAAAAAAGGTCAGAGAAGAAAGATGATTCGTCATCGTATCAAGTTGACATTGGTGATAGAAAAATGGTTTCCAACAAAAAAGTAAAGGGCATAATGATATAGAGAATCTAATTTATGTGGAGGAAATAAGCAAATATAACCAATGATTGGAACATTCGGATAAGCGTACCAATGATATGCATGCAACTGGTATTGTTTGACCTGCTTCCAAAACATCAATTATCAGGTCTGCAAAGACAGTAGCATCAAAACCGTGCTCTGAGATCACTATGGCTGGAGCTGAAGATAAAGAAATATTTAAGTTCATATCATCATTCGGGTATTTCCTGTATAATTGGGGAATAAAAAATCTCCATCCAGCAGTGTTTAAAAGGGATTGATCTGGTATTTTGTCCACAACCCATTGCATAAAGTCTGCCTGCCCACAGATGAGAACTTTCATTTAACATCAATAAGCTATAAACACAAACAAAGAACGATATCATAGAGAAGAAATAGTTAAAAAAAATTTGGCGTCGAAACAAGGATTTTAGAACTTACGTTATAGTATAAGGCTGATGCTGAATTAAAGACAGCCTCGTGCAATGAAATTTCAAGCATTTTCGATGAATCCAAGCAGGAAACCAAAGATTCCGAATCCGTCTCACCGTATTTAGGGACTTGAACCCTTTTTCTCGGAGTAAATAAACCATTGATTTCAAATCCAATGGAGGAATTACACAGTAAAGGCTCGTTTGCAAAAGTGACATTCAGAGAAGCATTGTCATCCACTGGAATTTCCTTTGGAAGAGATTGCAGATATAAATCAAGCTTTAAAATCCCTTCTTTGAGCTTGTTCACAATAGCATTCTCCACAGCAGACACTATTTCTTCTTCAAAGGCATCAATCATCCTAAAAGATTTTCAGACATAAAGCATTGAACAGAAAGGAAAATCAGATTGCAATATGCTTCTTTGAAGTAAAGCGCGCAAAGAATAAAGATGCGAATTTTCTGATCTGTTGCTCAGACTAAACAGAGTAAGGACAATGATTACAGAGCCCTAAAGCCAGTTTTTTTTATTTAAAAAAAAAAACAAACAAACAAACAACAACAACGCCAATTTCACATTATCGTTAGCAAGTGTAAAAAGGTTATGCAAACCTCATTGTAATCCTCTAAAGTATGAATTGCATAATATAACCTGATTATGACCCGAACATTATTTTTATTTTTTTATTTTTTTGATAAATAACTTGCATACCCTTGATAAAGCCAAGATGCTCCTCCATCCAATTTTATGAAAATTCTTTTGACCAAACAACCACAGTCCAGAAGTGACAATTTCAGCGTCCCTTCTTGGACCTCCAAACCTAATGTAAGGCCAACTTCCATGCCTTCAACCTTGCCAAGAAGCAGCACTCATCAAATACTTGCACAACAAAGTATGAAACAGAAAACAGGATAGTGACAAGGTTTTGATGCTATATTATATTGTTTAATAATATAGAAGATTGGAAGCTTTGACCTACAACTTTTCAATGTTCACAAGAATAAGTTAAGAGGGAACGATAATTCTGTAATATCAGTTAAAATCAAAATTACACCAAATTAAATAAAGTATGACAATTTAACCAAATCTGACCAAGATCTTATGATTAAAAAACCGTCAACAGGGAACCCTACCAAATAGGATTCTGCCAAGTTAAGAGGGTCTCTTTTTTTTTTTTTGAGAAAGTCAAAAGGGATAAAGTTCACAATCTCATATTATTGGGGGGAAAATAAGCAAAGACAATAGCCATACTTCAATGACTATCACAACAAATCTAATGTTAGCCCAACTTCCATGCTTTCAATATAACCCAGAAGCAGCACTCACTAAATTCTCTTTACCTAAGCACAAAAAGGCATCAAATATAAAAAGCTAACCTTCAAAATCTTATTAACCCATAAAAAATAAAAAATAAAAAAAACCAACTTCGCAATCATAGAGGATTCTAAGTCATACCGAAATAGAGGCACTTCCTTTATCTGAAACCGAGACAGGAAAAAGCCAAGTATTATAAGAATAGTGCCAATTCATGCTCAAATTACAGGTCGTCTCCGAAGCTACAATCACTATCCCCGTATCACCAGGCTTCACAAACGACGAACCCACATCGATTCCTTGTATTGTGATGTTCGAAAGCACCATACGAACACTTCCCAAAAATGGGATTTTGACGGATTTCTGAATCTGGGGAAGTTCGAGGGGGATTATGGAAGAAATGGCCTTGGTCACCAACAAGTCCTTGACGAAATGGAGACCCTTTTGGGAGATGACTACGGATGTGAAGGATTGGGCTGTGGATTGACCTGGGACTGTCAATAATAGTGCCGTCAGAAGAAAGAAAATAATGGGTTTCCGTTTTGACGCCATGGGAAGGTTTTTCAGTGCTGTCTTTTGTTTGCTTTTGATGATGATTGATGAGTACCAGTTATATTGTTTTTTTCTTTTTTTTTTTCCCTTGTACCAGTTGTGTTGTTTGTTGGCACAAAGAGGAAGCGTAGAGAAAAGTACAAAGCATCTGGATAAAAATATGGGCAGTCAGCCAGTCCTGTTCAACCCGGGTTGAACCGGGTCTCTCCATCCCGGTGTCCCGTTTAATTTGTTAATTTAAATTTTTAATTTGAGTTAAGATGTAATTTTATGTGAAAATATTTTATTATAATAAAAAAATTAGATGTTAATATTGTTAAGAATTTTTTATTATAATAAAATTTAAATTCTAAATTTGAATTAGTGAAATGAATAAAGTTTAAAATTTTTTTTAATATAATTTTGGTGTAAAGTTGTTTTTTGTTTTTTTTTGTTTTTTTTTTTGCTCTTTTTATTTTTTTGTTTCTTTTTTTTTCGTTGAATGGGTGATATAAATTATAAAGTTGTTGATTAATGATTATAAAAAAAGTAAATTTTACCATTTTTTATAGTATTATGTATTGAAACAAAAATAAAATTAATAAGTCTTATTATAGTCATATTTTGATACTTAAAGATAGTCTTAACTGACAATTTAAACTTAAGGTTAATGTACTGGAACGAATTAATTTAGAGAAGGATTTGAGCTTTAAAAAAAAAAAAAAAAAAAAACTCGTACCAGATCTTCAAGTGTTCTTTATCAGCTCCGAAACTATCGTCGTTTCTTCACGCCGCATTCCCATTCACAGTTTTCCCGGCAAGTTGGAGTTGATTCAGGTGTGTGTTTGATTAATTTTAAGCATTGGCCTAAAATGCAGATAAAATAGCAACGCCTACGTTTATAGAAGACTGCGTCAAATGAAGTAGTAGAAAAGAGAGAGGAAGTATTAAGAGAAGAAACAGAAGAGGGAGAGTGAGGTTTGTTCATATATGTTTCCATTAATGGGCTTCTGTTCTAACTTGGAGTTAATATAGAATGTACACTTTTTTTTTGTTTTTTTATTTTTTTTTAGAGAAACTGCATATATGGAATAATCTAAACATTGTTGGGCGCGTTTAAAACTCGTTTTAAAATGATTTTATTTTTATATAAAAATAAAAATGAAAACGTTTTTAATTTCAGACAGAAATCATTTTTAAATATGCATTTGGTAGTTTTATCAAGAGATTATTTTCAATATAAAAAAACTCATTAGTGTCTCTCTCTGCTCGAGAGAGGAGAAAACGAAAACAAAAAATAAAAAACGATTAAAAGACATTTTTCATTTTTCTCTCATTTTGTAATAAACCAAAAAATTATTTTCATTTCTGTTTTTTATCTTTATTGCGCCAAACGCCATTTTAAAAACGTTTTTATTTTTTTTCTCAAAAACATAAAAAATAAATATGAGATTAATTCTAAACACGGCCGTTAATACTTGATAATTTATCTTTAAGTAAAGAGTGCATTTTTCGAACTAACAAAGAGTTGATTCACATAAATGACCCTTGACTTCCCTCAAAATAAATAAATGACCCTTGGCAACTTCTATATGTATAAAGACAAACTCACATTGGCTTGCTATGAAATATATTAATGAATATAGATATTATTATAAAAAAAGAAGGAAATGACTACATTATCATTTTTTTATCTGATAAAAAGCTCTCAGAAAATATCACATCTCAACTCGAATTAAAAACTCAAATCGGTGAAATGAACGAGGCCTAACGCGATAGATTTTGTCTTTTCACAACTACAAATGATCACGACATACTCATTGTCTAAACGAAATTCTACAATTAAATGATCACAAAAACAGGATTAATAATATAATTTATCATTTCTTTATAAGTTACTCCCATATTTGGCTGCTCTTTTTTTGTTCGGCTGAAATATTTGGCCACTCTTTAACTCGTTGTCTTTCACTTGAACAAATGATTTTTAGCCTTTGTAAAATACATGGATAAACGTAAGTTAACAGGTGTTTTCTCAAGGGGTGGAATCACATGATGCACGTCTCTCTCTATATTAGGAATATGATCCTTCTCGAGGCTAGATCTCAACATAATCATAACATATCAATGTTAGGCCGATTCACTTCGATTAGTCGTGGTATTACGCGTGCCACCCCATTTTGAGAATGATGTACCACCGAGACTTGACAGAGGCATCTCTACTGGAGATATAAAGTCGACATGCTCGAGATAGGTGCAACCCAACTCAGGCTCGAGCATCGACCCTCGACCCTTGAGGTCCTTACTCGAGCATCGATCACTAAGACTCAGCGCGAGTCTCGTCTTTCAACCCTTGAGGTTCCCTCAAGCCTCGAGCTTGGAGGTAGGTGTGACCCTACTTCGGAAGTGGTATGACTTACGTGTCGAGAAGAGTCATAACTGAACACTTGAGACTTTCTCTTACCATATAGTTGACGTGTCTCGACACATCACTCTATCCATTAGACCTCGAAATTGAAGTAGAAATAAGTACAGGAGAAAGGACATTGCTACAGTGCCAAGCGCGTACGAATTGTCCCATGTACGCACCCTTTAGCCTGACATACTGGTCTATACAACAAAATGTCAGGAGACTGTCACTCGATGACAAAGGATGACCTGGCACCGCTGAGGTACGACCCTAACAGACTCTCACATCGAGTTTAGGGTTTCACACCCTAGGTTTCACACCCTAGGTCTCACCCCATGATAAATATTAGCCTTCATTCCCTTACCACTATCACACCTCTCAAATTTTCTTGACAACACAAGACAACATCAGAAACCCTCTCTCAAGCGGGTGTCTGGCATACGTCACGACGGAGTAAGGTGGCTGACGATAGAAGTGACATGGTACAAACTGGTGTTAGGACTACCGCTCTAACAATCAACTTTGATGTTTGATATCAAACATCAACAAGTATCCTCAGTGTAACACAAAACCCTCGTAGGGATTGAAAAAATCAATCAAGAGCGTCATGGAATCAAGACTATACGTTCAAGGTTAAGGGTTAAAATTTGAGGCACGACTTCAAACAACTAATGAAAATGTGACACACGCCATTGTTCTAGAAAGAATATCACAAAATTTCTTCAGTCATTTCTTGGAGGGAAATTTTTGAATATTCCAAATCTATATTTTTTATAAGGCTGATCAATCACATATGAGAAACCCTTCTCATTTGCCACTTTCTTATAAATAGGATACTTGAATCACATGGCTCATTTTTTTTCTACCCGTTTTACTAGTCACTTTTTTAGGGATATACTTCCTACGCACGCCATGACATAGAACAAGTTTTTTTTTTCACCTGTTGAGTTCGTTGATTTGAGTTTTTAATTCGAGTTGAGATGTGATTTTATGTGTGAGCTTTTTACTGTGACTGTTTTTTAGATGTGACTGTTTTTTATAGCTTTTTACTGTAATAAAACTCAAATTTTAAACTCGAATCGGTGAAATGAACGGGACGGAATCATTGATTTCACTTTTGCACTCAACGAGCTATGGTTTTGTCCCATTTTAACTCTCGAACTTCAAATACCTACAAATTGCATCTACATGATACATGTTTAATTTGGCCCTTCAATGACCATAACTAAAAAAATGTTGAACATTGAACCCAATTAACCGTGTAAAACCACATTACTGGTAAATTAAAGATATTTTATATACATTACGAATTTAAGATAAATTCAATTTAACCCTTTTGGTTAGCCACGTGGCTCATATAAAGAGAACATAACCCTTTTTTTTGTTAATTTCTAAATTTATTTAAACGTGATTTGTTTAAAATTTACTTCATTAACAAAGGATATGAGTGTCACGTAGTTGATTTATCGAGTTGTTATGGTTTCGCAACTGAAGGGTAAAAAATGTGATGGGTAGCATTATTTAGAGTGCAATTTGTAACGTCTTATAGTTACCTGACCAAAATGGTTCAAGAAGCACAGATAAGGCACCAAAATTGAAAATTAAACATAATTATATGCATGGTCCAGCTAGTTCCACATCTTATTCAAAGTTAAGGTCTTTAATTTAAATCTTTCATTTCAAATTCAAATAAAGAGAGTTTTTTTAATAGGATTAGAAAAAATATATTATTAGTAATTTTTTACTTTTCAATCGTCACATATGTATTAAAAATTAATATAAATTTAAGTACCTTTTATTTTAATATAATTTTAATTAAATTTAATAGTAAAAAATTAATACTATCAATAAAAAATATATCAGACAAAATCCCTCAAAAGAAAAAAAAAAAGAGAGAGAAAATATTCTTGAAATTTTTTTTTTAAAAAGAAAAAAAAAAACGTTCACATTCTCATCTCACAAGCTCTAGCTCTAATGAAATGTCAAAAGTAACCGTATGACTTGTATTATTATTCTTCTTTTTCTTTTTCTTTTTCTTTTTCTTTTTCGATCTGTTGCTTTTCTTCTTAGCAAAAAGAAAAATTGAATAACGTTTCTTTTTGGTGGTGGGCTGAGGAGGAGAAGAGGTGAAGAAAAAAGATGGCGTTACAGGCCGGGGTTTCCTCGTCCAAGGTTCTCATCCTCGTTGGAGCAGGTAAACCCTTTTCCCATTTCAGTTCATCTTTTACTTTTCTTTTCGTATTTATTGTTATCAATTATCATCACCCATTCAGATTTACTTCTATATCATTGCCTTTCTAAGACTTCTCTCTAAGATTTTAGATAATTCAATGATTAGGGTAACTTATCGTAGGAATTTTTTTTTCTCGTTTTTTTTTTTTTTTTTCAGGGTAAGTTATCTTAGGATTTATATGTAACTGAATCTGCTTTGATTGATATCATTATCAGCAATTTCAGTTTTGTCTGTCTGTATGGCAAAAAACTGGGTTTCACTTTGTTAATAGAATGGCTTTTATTCAAAATAAGTACATAAATAAGTAAATTTATTGAGCTAATGATGTTTGCTCATGTTATAAATAATATAATTAAGTTGTGCTTTTGGCTTATATGGTTTCTGTGATTTTATTATTGTTGTTATCTTCTTGTGGGTATGGCTGCTTGAGAGAATTGCAGGTGTTGATTTGAGCTCCTTACAAAGGAGCACATATGTGATAAAAAGTTAGGAATAACCAACAAAGCAAATGAGGCAAAAAAAACAAAAAATGTCATTTGCCATAGTTTAAGGGAGTTGAATGTTGAGTTATCCACGAGAAATAATGTTACATTGTTTTTTTTTTTTTTCTTCATGTTCTTTGTCATGCATTGGCATTGGCAGCATTGCCTTTTTATAATTATTGCTATTTTTGCATTTGCAAATTAGGTCTGACGGGTTCGGTTATTTTGAGGAGCGGGCGATTGTCTGATCTGATTGTGCAGCTTCAGGAATTACTTAAAAGCGTTAATGAGGCTGAGATCTCGCCTAACAAGTACGATGGTGCGCTCATTGCAGCTCAGGTATAGTATAGCAAAATGGACTCTTGTCTGGGTTTAGTGTTATTACTACAAACATTACTATGATTCAATGACTTCACCATCAAAATTGATAATGACATTATAATGATTAGCAAACACATGGAGCTGGAATGCCTAAGACCGTTTGGCCTAGTGGCACAGGGAGGTTCAGGTGGGGTGGGGTTTGGGAAGGTTGCGGGTTCGATCCCGTGTTGTATCAGAAAGGAAAAAAAAAAAAAAAACATGGAGCTGGAATTTCTGTTTAAACTCCTAAAGGTGCTAGCCAGGAATGTTATCAGCACTCTTTCATGAAGTGATTATGCCGCAACTTAGTTGGGTCTAACCTCTAGAGCATTGAAAAGGTTTTCCTATATAGTCTCTTTATTCAACCTAATGCTTTTAAATTATAAGATGACCAAACGGCATATAGTGGAACACAAAGGATTTGAGTAATTGTAACCAGTGTTCAGTCTGTGTTCCTCTGAAAAGTGATTTACCGAGAAATTGAGTGTACTTTGACTGCTACCCGCATAGTTTATCTCCGTAAGAAATGCATTATTGAAACACTTTATGTTTATGTTTTCTTTCCTTCAGATTCGGCAATTGGCACAAGAGATTAGGGAGTTAACCTTATCTGGCCCTGTAACAATCTTCAATGGGAATTCTGCATCGAGTGGTATGTGCACTAATTCTGTTGCACATTCTTTCTCAAACATAAACTCTGTTGTTTTGAGCCCCCGTTGGGTTCGCTGGTTCGAATTTTGTTGATTTAAATTTATTTATTTGAACAGAAAAATTCAAACTGTATAGTTCAAATTGTAGTTTGAATTGACGTTTGGGTGTGTGGTAAAAACTTTAATCTTAATAGGGAATAAAATTTGAATTTGTGTTTGGTAGGTGTGAAAAGTAGAGAGAGTTGGCACCTTTTCACTGTTTAAAAATGGTTTGAACGGTTGAACTTTAGGGGAGAGTTAAACTCTAAGTTTGACAGTTTAACTCAGTTCAAACGGAAAATATAATTCGGACTGAGTGCTTACCAAACACAAATTCAAACTGTGTTTACCGTTCAAACTGAGTTGAACTGAATTAAACTAATGAAACAAACGGGGCTGAGTTTCTTTTTCTTCTTCTTCCTTCATGAATAAAAAGTGGCATCCCCCATTTCCTCGTTTACAAAACCTATTAATTGCAAATGTTTCACATTAATCATTGTTCACTTATCTAATTTTTCATTACTTCCTGAACCACCTTGTGTGTCTAGAGGTTTCAGAAATGACAGTTTTAAGCCAAAATTTTTTACACTGCAATAAAAGTGAATGGGTTTTTCTAGGAAAAATACCGGGGTGCAATAAGTATGTCAGTATTTATTTATTGATGCTCTTTAAATTTATTTTCTTTCTATGGCACTTGGCTTTTCTGGATGTTAATAAGATAATGTTCTTGTTTTGACCACTTGAATGATCAAAGTAAAATTCTCATATGTTTGAAACTAAAAGATGGAAGACCCTAAACCAACTCTGACCAATTGGGAGCAAGAAGGTTCTTTAGTAATTCATGATTTTAAGGCTTGATCAGGAAATTGTTCATTACGGTTTTGATTTAAATCGGTACTATATTTTTTTACAGATTCGCTATCAGATGCCTAATTGGAAATAAACATTCCTTGTTATCAAATAGATGATAATTGAGAAGTATTTAAGTCCCAAATTCATCTCTCAGGGGCTGAATGTCTTCCTCCAAAATGTTAAATTGATAGTTGGGGATGGGACTAGAACATTGTTTGGAAAGATAAATGGTGGGAAAATGTGTCTTTAGAAGTTTTGTTCCCTCGTTTGTTCAGAATCACTGACCTTCCTAATGCTCTTATTTCACAAATCTGTTCACTGTCCAGCAATAATGATCCAAATTGGAACCTTGGTTTTCGGAGAGGACTCAATGACAGAGAGGTAGAGGATTTGCATTCTATATTACAAATTCTAAATTCCTTTCCTTTTAGACGATCCTCTCCTATCTTAGGGTGTGGTTGTGTGATCCTCATTGGTTGTTGTGTCATTCCTTCCTGACTTCCTTAGTTGACAGAAATGATAACTTGATATTTGAACTGTTTCGATTCATTTAGAATTCCAGTGTTCCCCATAGAGTTAAAGTTTTCGCTTGGTTGGTTGCGCACGGTAAGCTTAATGCCATTAATGTGTTTCAAAGGAAAAATCCCCACATTGCTCTAAACTCCATCTTGGAGCGACCTTTGCAGGGGTAGTGAAGAAACCATAGACCACATACTGCTTCATTGTACAGTGGCTCAGATTGATTTGGTAAAACTTTTACTTGAAGCTGTTTTTTTTTTTTGGGTTACTCCAGCTCATTGCATTTCATTGTTGATGGAAAGTTTGTTGGTTTTGGGTTTCAACAAGATGGAAAATGTGTTATGGAAAAGCATAGTACTTTCTCTTATGTGGGCCTTGTGGATGGAAAGAAACGCGAGAATTTTCGAGGAGAGTTGGATATTGTTGATATTTTTGAGAAAAGCCAAATTCTCAGCTTCTTTATAGGCTTTGTCAGACAAATCTTTCTAGGGTTTTCCATTTTCTTTGATTGTTTTGAATTGGAAAGATGTAATAGGAAAATGATTTTTTAGTCTTTATCAGATTGACTTTTTGTTTCTGTTTTGTTTTCCTGGCATTTTGAGGATACCTCATGCTCTTGTACCTGCAATTGATAATTATCAATAAAGGATTTTTCTTATAAAAAAAAAGAAGTATCTAAGTCCCAACAAATATATATATATATATATATATTGTTTTATCATTTTAATTTTTTAACATTTAACCATATAGATAATTTCATCTTAATTCAGGTAGTTATGCTTCTTACATATTACCAGCTGCTGCAGTTGGTGCAATGGGATATTGCTACATGTGGTGGAAGGTACAATGTTTCACGCATAAATCACTTGTTTGAATGTGTTTGCTTGCCACTTTACATGCAAATTCCAATTACCATGCAGGGTTGGTCACTTTCCGACGTAATGTTTGTGACAAAGCATAACATGGCAAATGCTATTGCAACCGTTTCAAAACAATTAGAGCACGTACATGATGCTTTAGCTGTAAGTAGTGTTAGTTTTCCCTTTCCTGATGCTAATCCTTTCATAATTAGCTTTATGTGTGGACTTAGCATGCTTCTTTCTTGATTCTCGATTGTGCAGTCTACCAAAAGGAATCTGAGTAAGAGGCTTGAAAACTTGGATTGGAAGATGGAGGAGCAAAAGGAAACAACTCATCTAATTGCAAATGATGTATGGAGTAGTTCATCCCTTTTAAACAGTTATGATCTTTACTGATTATTAAAAAAAAAAAAAAAAAAAAGAAAGATTTTCCCATAAAATTGGATCTATTAAAACCTCTTTCTATTCCCTTGACTGAAAACAATCATTGTAATGTAAGATGAAATCATGTTCCCCCTATTGAAAGCCCTCCCTTTTTTCTTAAGATCACTAGAAATGTCATTTTCTCTTGCAAACTTGATTCTTCAAAATTAATTTGGTGTGCTTACTTCACATGAAAGGGAGAAGGAAAAGAGAAGTGTCTCTCTTGCGTCTACTTACAAAATCAGGAATTACTTTGGTTGGCCCTACACATATAGGGAATGAGGAAAGGAAATGTCAATTCTAAGGGGTCCCTTGGCTATGATTCCCAGTTAAAGGGAATGTATGCCAAATTTGCTTATATACCCTTTGACAAGTTCACATATTACATAATGAACCCATGATTATTTAATTATGTAATAGGAGATTTTTGCAATTACGTTGACAAGATTAATAGTCTTAGGTTTAGTTTCACGGAAGGGAGGGAACTGGTCACCATCTAATAGATAAGTAAGTACTAGAAAGGGAAAAAAATGATCATCATTTTATTCCTTTAGGTCACGTTCCATACCCATTGCCTTCTATATTACATTCGTTTACGATTTGGTAAATATGCCCCATGGATGTAGGCAATACTGTCCCTCTACCTATTCCATTGTACGTTTGTTTGTTAGCAACCTCTCGTTTGTGTACAGGTGAGTGAGGCGAAGTCAAACCTTTCTCAAATTGGGTTTGATGTCGACACAATCCATCAAATGGTGGCGGACCTGGTGAGTTATTGACTAATATTTTCTTCTTTTTTTTTTTTCCCTCATACTCATTTTCTCAAATTCAAACTTTTAATGCAATTATTTTTCTACTAAATTGCACAGGAAGGAAAAATTGAGCTTCTTGAGAGCAAACAGGTTATTCTTCTGTTCTGGTCATGCAATCAAGTCTAGTTATTTTGGACTTTTTATTTACATGATGTGTTTTTATTGATTTATTTCTTTTCCAAATTCGTTTTTCAACACCATACAGGATATGACTAACTCAGGTCTTTGGTATCTCTGCCAAGTGGCTGAAGGATCTAAAGATGGTCTGGATGCTAAACCCTTTCAGGTGAGTTTTAATTGGCGTAAAAAATGGGCCTTACAAGGTTTCTTTGTAGTGTACATGCAATTCTAAATGGACAACCATAGACTAATAATGCCTTTGGGTTATTTATGGTGTTTTTTTATTTTATTTTATTTATGGTGTTTTTTATTTTACGTTTTTTAATGCGGGTAGGATGCCTCTGCAAAGCTAGCAAAGCATTCAGCAATAAAATTTGAGGAGAAATCACTCAAGGTATTTGGAGCCTCATTCTTTTTCATAACACGACATCTCGATCTCTTAATGACATGATATCGTGGAAATGATTCAGGGCCTTCAGTTCATTACTGAAAATAAGGAGTCAAGTGTTGTTGAAAGATCGACGGTAAGCACGAGTAAAGATTCCGACAAAGATGGCCTCAACGACCTCGTTGGGGTAAAGGCCCCATTGATGAAAACAAGAATACACAGATCATATCTGGTTGGGATTTCTTTGACCAGAGACATTTTGGGTTCTGATCTGTGAAACTCTTTCGTCTTCAGTTTATCTTTGATTTCGGGAGGGAAGTCTTCCTGATTGATTTTTTTCCCCTTGAAATTGTGTGTAGTTCTTGTGACTTGTTCATTTGTTTGGGGTGATATATATATATTCATAGTTACACATTCTTCTTGTACTTGGAATTGATTCATACCAATTGTAATTCGTTGCTGGTACAACTTCAATGGTATACTTGTACAGAATAAAAGTTTATTCATTTGAATGTCAGCGATGACAATGTATTTCAGTATAAGCAGTTTAAAACAGCTTTTAGTTTTTACATTGAGACGTGTGAAAACCCACCATTCTATTTCTCCTGTGTTTTTTTTTTATTTTTTATTTTTTAACGTTTTGTTTTCCTTTGTTTCAGTCAGCGGAGCGACGCTAGGACGAATTTTCAACGTGCTTAGAGCCTATTGATAATTTAGATCTTATAGATATTCGTATAATATCTCCTATTCATAGATTTGTGCATGTCTTTATACAATTAGAGACAAAATTATCGATTTTTGAAACAGGAATTAATAGATCATTAGTTCACATCGCTGTGGAGGAAAAATAGGACTATCCGGCGTAATTAATGAACAAAATATTGTAGAAACAAAAGTGACTCTAGTTTGATTAGGGAATACAAATTAACTAAATCAAGGGGTTGAATTGTGTTTGAAAGTTGATGTGCTGAGAAAAGTCACAAGGTTTTTCTATTGGATTAATTATGTCGTAAGTCTCGAGCACGCTGAGAAAAGTCACAAGGTTTTTCTATTGGATTAATTATGTCGTAAGATCTCTCTCGAGCACGTTCGTTACACGTAGAAATGCGCTAATGAACTGTTGGCACTTGGCGCAGGCAGAAAGGCTTTTTTTTTAAAAAAAATTGAAAAAACAATAGTTTGCTTGAACAATTTTAATTTTCTAGGATCTTCGTAAGTGTCATTTTGTTTTTTTTAGGAATAATAATATCGATATTAGTTTGGAAATTCCGAAATTACAACAGATACCATAGGTGGAGGAATTTCCTCCAACCAAATAACATCATTTATGCTAGCGTGTGACGTTGAATTTTGCCAGACCGCGAGCTGCCATATTGACTACAACATGTTTTGTTAAATCTAAATGGAGAAGAGGAGATAAATACCTCTATTTGGATTTTTATCATTTATTTTTATTAATATTTTTTTAATTAAAAATTATATTAGTCAAAAGGGTGTTAATTAAGAATAAAAAAGAAAAAATCCATACTCATACATAAGTTGAGTAATGTTCCCTAAATCTAAACTTTTGCAAGTATTTGTAATTAGAAGAAAAGGATGAGAAATTTACTATAATTATTCTTAAAAGTGTATGAGTTTAAATTTTTATCATTTTTAATTAATACCCTTTTAACTAATATATTATTTAATTAAAATAGTATTATTTAAGAGTAAGCTTAAGGGTAATTTGTCTTTTTTTTTTTTTCTCATCATACTCACATGTCAATCCAAGTCAAGATTTTGTGTATTCTCGTAAAGAGCCCACATGCTGCATGTCCAAAAAGCCCAAAAAACCTGTATTTTGGGCCTAACGAAATCTATGGGCCGATGACAATTCCGCCTGTCCAGAATGAACCGACTCGACCTGTGTGGTACAAAACACTCCAGGACTTAATTTCAACTTGATAATTCAGATTGCTCTTTTCAATTCCCTTTCTTCAAGCTTCACCTTTTTCCAGAAGAAGAGAGGTATTTTTTGTGCTTTTTCTTTTGTTCATCGCATCTAATTCTTCACTTATTTTCTCTTTGATTTTGTTTGTAATTATTCCCAAAAATCTAGGGTTGGCTTCGTTCCGATTACTCACTAAATCGACCTTTAGTTTCTTGCTCTACTGTTCGTAATTAGTTATTCCGCTACTTATTATCAATTTTTGCTACTAATACGTGAGATTTGTTACTAATTTTTTCAAAATTCTGTATCACAGGTGGTTTTGTTTTTTTTCAAGATGTATTTTTGTTGCGATCGTCCTCTTCGCTAGCTGAAATTTGTATGCCAAGATGTTTTTGATCGAATGGATTTGCAGTTCAAAACTAATAATAACTTTTTAATTTAATGGTTACGGATTCTCGTTTCTACTAATTAAATTGAGCTAGGAGTTAACATGAGTTAACAAAGTGGTTCTGAAATTTAGCGAAATTAACATTTGAATTTGCGCATTCATTTTTTTGGATTCGGCATAGTAGATGAGGATTTTCTGAATTTCAAAATTTTATTTTGATTGTTTCGTTTCATCGATGAGCTGAAATTAGAGGAAAATAGCATATTTTGATTGAATGAATGTAGATTCTGTTTATTCCATGCGTTTTTGCAAGAAATTCCTTGAATTTAGAGTTGCTAATACCTTTTCCATTTTATATATATATCTCTCTCTCTTTTTTAAATTTCTCTGCCCAATTGAACAGGGAAAG